GGACAGACCCCTGCAGCCACACCTTTTGCACTTTTGGCCCAGAAAAGAGGTGAAAGGTCCTAATGTGGAGACAGTGGACTTGAACAGCAGCTAGAAGTGCTTGGGTTGCATACTAGGACACACTTTCCTACCCAAAAGGTAATCAAATTTTGTGCCTGGTTTTTCGAATCCTAAACACAGGATTCTCATGACTATATATATGAAATTTATCTTTGGGTCAGATTTACTTCTGGTCCTAATGATAAGACGCAAGTTTTACCTCTGATCACCTGCTGTGTTTGTAAAAATGGCCCATGTTTGGGTCCTCAGACCTAGTGGCCCAGTCTTCCAGGGATGACCCCAAGAATCTGGATTAACAAATCACCCAGGTGATTCCCATGAGCAGGGAACAGAAGAGACATTATTTACAGTAAACCCTTGAGAGGAAATGAAGAGAGGAAGTTGGCGAGACTGATGAATCATGAGTACCTCATGAGTGAGTTAAGAAAGCTCAAATTTTAGGGTTGGATTTAAGTTGTGCAATTAAAGCTAGTATTCTCGGCAGCACTTCGCAGCCACTCGCAGCCTGTTCCAGCCTCTGCCTCACTCTACCTCCTTGCTTTCCAAATACTGCCCCTTAAGCTCCTGATAGATCTTAAACTGCAGCTGGAGTAAAAGCAAGGATGGGAGAGGTGGTAGACTGTTTCCAAGTACATAGTTAGCATCGCAGTTCCTGGATCAAAAAGATACAATTCCGAAACCGGTCTGCTATCAGCCCTGGAGACATTTAGTTATCACCCAGTCACTTACCCAAATTGGAAAGTCTTTTCATCAAGCCAGCTTCTCTTACAGCAGTCGGGCCATACTCCACTCCTTTTCTTTTCTGTCACAGAAAGGTGTTTGGACATGAGGAAAGATGAGCAGGAGAGAGAAACAAACAAACACACACACACACACACACATCTACATGATCATCCTCCGCAGATTCCTCTGTAAACCTATGCCAGCACCAGCCTTCCTCCTATTACTTCCACCTCGGGGGTCTGGACGAGTCCTCAAACACTTGCAGGACAAGGGACACCGAGGAGGAGTGGAAACCAAGCCCCTCGCTGGAACGAAATCAACCTTTCCAGCCCCTCCTGGTGGGTAGGATGCCCAGGTCAGAGAAGGTGATGGGGACGTCATGAGCCAGACGCTGAGCTGGATGGCGCCCGGGTCCCCGTGTCTTTCCTTACCAAAAGCAGCCCCTCCCGTCCTCCAGCGCTGGGGGCTGCCTCCAGTTTTCTTCCCAGTTAATGTTCTTTCTGAGAAGATGGACCCTGAAAGCCTTAAACCCTCCTCGGTCGCTCTCTCTCATCTCTTCTCCCGCTATTTTCCGCCAGGGATTCGGGCTGCTTTTCCCACCTCCCCCATCCCCTTCCCTCCGCCCCAGCGCGCTCCGACCCACCGCTTTCTTGCTGGTCCGGGGAGGCCGCTGGAAACCCGCCAGCTCTCCGCCCCGGCCCGCACCCCCTCCGGGGCGCCCTCCAAGCCCTCCCCCCGGCCCCATCTTCTTTCGAGGATCACCC